GAAAATTGATTAGAAAAATTAAAAAAATTTCTTCCAAATAATTTTTATTTTCTCAAGTGTTTTCTATCCAATCTGAGATCATCTCCAGGGATTGCATATCTATGGATGTGTTATGCGTTAACACCATACATTCAAAATATATTTTTACCTCTGTGCAAAGGAGGTAAATTATGTTGTTGTTTTTTTTAAGATTTTTAATTGTATTACTTTAATTTAGTATTTCTTATATAATAACAATTTTCTGCTACAAACAATTAAGAACTTTGTTGCTATACTCGTAGTTGACTTTAGCGATTTTGGACTGCAATTCTCTTATATAAATGGCTTCCAAAATTTTAAGTTCTTGTTTATTATTTTCTTGATGAATCACTGATGTATTTGTGATTAATATCTGTCTAACCTGTGAATGTCGACATGAATGTTCCTTTAAATGTTCTGAGATTAAACTATGAGCGTTCAATTTTCTGCAGCCAATGAAATAATTCGTTGACTTGAAAGGATTAAAACTAAAATAAAAAGACATATATATATACACACACACACACACACACACACACACACATATATATATATATATATATATATATATATATATATATATATAGAGAGAGAGAGAGAGAGAGAGAGAGAGAGAGACTGAGACTATGGTAATGGTAATATTAGCCGTTTTCCTACAAGGAAACAGTTGGCAGTCATTGGCGTGTAGCCAGAACTGATTTTGGTTGAAATTTATAAGAAATTAAAATTTTTTTCAAGAAAATAGGTTTCTCAAGTCCGGTAGCTATTATCGCTCTTGCTAGTATTGATGGGAGTCTCCTTTCTAACCTTTTTATTTGAAGTGGAATATCAACATCTTGATTATGTCATTATTTTCTCTTCAAGTTCTATGTGCTATCCATTTTAGTTGTTGCTACTCTTGGTAGTCTTCAACGTGTGTGTATATATATATATATATATATATATATATATATATATATATATATAAATTTAATTTAGATTAAAAACACACAACCTTAAGGGTCCATTGATTTATATTTTATATCCCCAGGAAAGTGTTTTATTCGTGTTCCTCAGATCACATTTCCAAGCATAAAAAATGGTTCCATATTTACATATTATTTTTATACGCTTTTGAGGGGTAGTTTTATGTATATATATATATATATATATGTGTGTGTGTGTGTGTGTGTGTGTGTGTGATCGTACTCCCCACGCTCTCTCTATCACCTTACATCAACTTAAGAAAACCTCTAATTAGCTTCTTGATATTAAGTTGAAATTAATCAAGAAAGGCGCCATAGTTTTTTCGTGACCATGTACTTTCCATCTCCTCCGAGATCATACACATGGATGAATTTCAATGACTTTTGAACTGTAGTGCATATAAAAATTGATTAATCATCCAAGTAGTATCAATGTACATCCTGGTTTAGAAACGTGGGATGCGAAATGGCGGGTAACCAAGTGTAAATCGTTATCTGTAATGTTGTCATTGGACAAACCGAAGGTGAACAACAAGTTTGTATGACGTTCCGTAGGGGCAAATTGTAAGTGATTGACAATAAAAGCTGAGGATTTGATTATATAGTTTGAGAGAAGAAACGTTTGTCAGAAAGCCGTAGAATCTTGTCAATAACATCAGGCCCGAAAAGCCATAAAACCGGAATACGTGCGTCCTTGTCATGAGTCGCTCGCAAGAAAAACAGACCAGAGACAAAAGAGAAGACAACAGGCTCGGGTGGATAGGTACGCGGAAATATACACGGGTGGAGAGCGGATAGGAAAAAAATAAAAAAATAAAAACTTACGCAAATTTAGTATTTACGAAGTCTCTCCGGGAAGTGTTAAACTTTCTGTTATAAGCTAAATAAAATAACCACCCTAGGGCAATGACAGCATTTGTCCGCTTCAAATACGCCTCTTTGAATGTCACTGACTTATTCTAGAATTCCCTTTCCATTTTTAAAATAGTCTTCAATGTACGCTTTTGGGATTGCTACCAGTTGTCCCAGTGCGTTCTCCGTAATCTCGTCCATGGTCTGAAATGCCCGCCTTTTAGATCCAGAAATCGTAAGAAGTTAAATCTAAGTATTGACACATTTAGATGACACGATGTTTTGGCGAAGCAAACACCCACACGAGATAGAACCCGTCGTGATGAATGAACCGGTTACACATTATAGAATCCGTCATGATGAATGAACCGGTTACACATTATAGAATCCGTCACGATGAATGAACCGGTTACACATTATAGAATCCGTCACGATGAATGAACCGGTTACACATTATAGAATCTGTCATGGTGAATGAACCGGTTACACATTATAGAATCCGTCACGATGAATGAACCGGTTACACATTATAGAATCCGTCACGATGAATGAACCGGTTACACATTATAGAATCTGTCATGGTGAATGAACCGGAATGAAACCGGTTACACATTATAGAATCCGTCACGATGAATGAACCGGTTACATTATAGAATCTGTCATGATGAATGAACCGGTTACACATTATAGAATCCGTCACGATGAATGAACCGGTTACACATTATAGAATCCGTCACGATGAATAAACCGGTTACACATTATAGAATCCGTCACGATGAATGAACCGGTTACACATTATAGAATCTGTCATGGTGAATGAACCGGTTACACATTATAGAATCCGTCACGATGAATGAACCGGTTGCACATTATAGAATCCGTCACGATGAATGAACCGGTTACACATTATAGAATCCGTCACGATGAATGAACCGGTTACACATTATAGAATCTGTCATGGTGAATGAACCGGTTACACATTATAGAATCCGTCACGATGAATGAACCGGTTACACATTATAGAATCCGTCACGATGAATAAACCGGTTACACATTATAGAATCCGTCACGATGAATGAACCGGTTACACATTATAGAATCTGTCATGGTGAATGAACCATTTACACATTATAAAATCTCAACCAATGGCGTTTCAGCTCCGGCTAAGTGACCCACCTTCAGAGTATGGTGAGAAAGACTCCTAATTTCTGATTTCGATGTTGAATCAAGGCTTGTCCATTTAGTTTTCTAGGACTGGATGATACAATTAGTTAAACAAGATGAAAGGTTGTAAATACAAACAAGATTTACATTTAGTAGATTCTGTAGAAAAATAAAACAAAACCCAAGAACCAACATTTGCAGCAAAAATTATGAAAAACCAAGCCAAGGATAAAGCGATTGAACATAGAAAACAACGCTGGCAAGACAAGCATCTTCATGGCCAATATCCAGAACGTGTTTACCAAGCTGATGTTAATAAAGTTACCACTCATATGTGGTTACGAGCATCTGGATTTGTTATAGTGGAACACACCTATTCTATAGTTAATAGACTCTCCCACCTATAATAAGTAGGAGTAGTAGTCGCCAGTCGCTCAGAGAGTTGGTCAGTCAGTCGATGTCGGACGACCGTTAGTCGGATATTAAAGTATCAGCCACCACAACTAGATTACTGCGTCATTACCTATTATATCAAGTTCCTAACGTTTTGTACGTCGAACCTATTTTAGGACCAACTTAGTGAAATACAATCCTCCACTGTGAAACTACTCTACAACAGGATTATAGGCTGAAACGGAATGCTTTATTCTTTCAGCACAAGACCAGTTTTTTCACTAGAAAATTTCAGGCAAATATCATACATAATAGTGTGGATGCAAAATGCAGATCCTGTGACAAATATTAGGAAACTATAGGCCATCTAATATTAGGATGTTCTGTACTTGCGTCAAATGAATATAGAAATCATCACGATAGAGTAGGGCAATACTTACACTGGACAATGTGCAAATAGATGTTAATAAACACTGGTATGCAGCACCGGTTACAGAAATAGAAGATATCACAATTCTATGGGATTACACCATCTTTACAAACTGGAAGAGGGAAGCAAATAGGCCGACGGACATAATTGTCAAAAACCGAAAAGAAAAAGACTTGCCTACTAATTGATATGGCTTGACTAGCGGACTGTAACATAGAAACCAAGGAATTTGAAAAACTATCGATGTATAAAGACCTGGAAAACAAAATAGAATAAATGTGGAAATTGCAAACAAGAATAGTACCAGTCATAGTAGTTGCGCTTGGAATGATAAAAAAGGAACACAAGAACACGATGAAAAAAATCCCTGGAAATCCCAGCTTAAGAGAAATACAAAACATTGTTTTGGTAAGTAAAGCCCACATACTAAGAACTTTGTCGATGTGACGCTAATGATGTGATGGGAGTTAGAAAAACAAATCATGAAATGTAGCCATAACAACACCGCCCTAGCTGCCTTAGGTCTCTTCCCGCAGACTTGGTAGGTAGTGCGACCAGAGCAGAAATCGAAATATAATAATAATAATAATAATAATAATAATAATAATAATAATAATATAAACCTAGTAAAAATAATCTAAATTATCTATAAAGTTCAATGCGTACTCACATGCATGTAAGTAAATATTTAACCATATTTGATTTTTTTAACTTAATAATTTTATTTACATCTATTTACTTCTAAATAATTTTGGATTTAATCCGAAAATTAATTTTAAATTTTACATTTTATTTTAGAATTTAAATTTAAATTTTAAATTTTAAACTAAATTTTTAAACTTAAATTTAATTTTATTTCGAAACTTAATTTTAGTTTTAAATTTAGTTTTAAATTTAATTTTAAAATTCAATAACAATTTGAATGATTTACTTAAAATAATAATAACAATTTGAATGATTTAAAATCTTCAATTTGCTGTCATATTCATGCAAGATGATATTTTAATCATATTAATATATTTTTTCCTTTAGGTTTAATTTTCCTTTACTTATAAATTTTTTTTTCTAATGTAATATATATTTTTCTGGTGTCCATTGCAAAATGGACAAAATTTTCTTTTATCTTACAAGTGTGAAAATCTCTCCTTTTTTTTTTTTACTCTTCTTTTCTTTTGTAGAACTATGCTGATTTTCTCCAAGAACATATTGTCAGAATCCGTGACATCGAACTCCTGACCGGTCTCCACTTCTTTAAAGCCTATCAGCACCATTCAGCTGTTGTAAGACAGCGTGTATACATGCCAGCCTCGCTTTGGCCCTCATTCGACACGGAGAAATGGCTGAAGCAGCCATGCTTTTATACTCGCAAATCCTCATGTCCCAGGTAGATATTTAGATATGTTTACTTTACTAAAGGTACCTCCACTTTTTCGCTAATAAAGCGCATACCATGATGAAAAAAGTTCCCAAAGTCGATAAAAACAAAGTTTTATTGTCAAAATATTTATGCTATTATTAAAAAGTCTAAAGTATATTTTATTATTTTATCTTTTCAATCCTTTCTAGCACGTTTGAAATTTTGGTCAAATGTTTTGTTATTTTGCGTCAGTGGTAACCCAAAGATTACCATGGGTATTTTTGCGCTTTATTTGGGTAAAAAATCACATTGATTTTGAAATTCTTGCAAAAATCAAATAATTGTCGGATTTTAATGAAGCTTTCAGAATATATTCATAAAAGAACTGAATTATTTTTTTCAGTTTTTTTTTTTTTCAGAAAATCTTGGTGAAAATATGTTTTTTTTTTTTTTATATCAACTTACTTAATTTTATGAAATTTCGAGAAATTAAAATTTCAAACTCTTCATATTTATATTAGTTTAAAGCAGAACTCCTTGAAGAATTTTAGTAACCATTTTGTTTTTGTCGAGTAGGAACATGATTTACTGAAAATCTGCTCCAAATCGTAAAATAAAAAGGCAATAAACTATGACATTATTTAATTAGAAAGGCTTTTAATTGTTTTTATAAATAAGATATATTAATATAAAGTGAAATCGCGTTCTTCCCCTTGGTTCTCAGCTGCTTGTTCAGCTACTTCCGTCTATACCGCAGAGACATGTCTGTTTATAACAGACGTCTCTTTGTCACTGCTCGTAACGAGTGCAAGCATGTCCTCAAACAAGCAAAGTTACTCTTTGCCGAAAGGATGAATCAACGTAATGCTTCTCGAAAGTTTGGCTCAAAAGATTATTGGCGGATTTGCAAAAGCGTGCTGAACAACAGCAAGCCCTCAATACCTCCTGTATTCAACCAATTTGAGGTCCTGACCTCCTCAGCTGATAAGGCTGAATGCATGGTCGTAAGTTCTCATCCAATTCAACGCTATACTCATCTGGTGTACCTACACCAGACTTTCCCCTTGAGGCTCTACCGAGGGAGATGCACATAACCCCAGTAATGGTTTTGGATATCATCTCTAAATTAGGCTCCAATAAGGCTAGTGGTGGGGACGGGATACCGGCCATTGTCCTGAAGAAATGTGCTCCTGCATTGGCTCCTATCCTCTCTAAATTTACAACTACTGCCTCACCGACTCTTTCTTTAGATCCTGTTGGAAGTCCCCGTTTGTTTGGCCTGTCTTTAAGAACTCTGGTGACTCTTTTGTTCCGTCTACCGTCCTATCAGTCTCCTAATACTCTTCGGTAAAGTCTTCTTGGCTTTAATCAACGCCGAATCACATAATCTCCTCTCCGATAAGCAATATGATTTTCGCTTTTCCCGGTCTACCGCTGACGTACTCACGGCCTTAACTGAATTTGTATACCAAGCACTCAACAATAATGGAGAAGCTCGATCCGTGGCTCTAGATATCTCTAAAGTGTTTGATCGGGTTTAGCATGCTGGCCTTCTTCGTAAGCGTCAGGGATACGGTATTACAGGACGATTATTTGACTTAATATAATCATCCCTGCCAAAACGTGAAATGAAGGTCGTCCTAAACGGTTTCTCCTTCGGCTCCTTTATCACAAACGCTGGTGTTCCCCAAGGCTCTATCTTGGATCCTACACTGTTCCTGATCTTCATCAATGATCTCCCTGATGTCATCAGTTTCCAAGTTGGCATCTACGCTGACGACACCACTCCTGCCTCAATAGTAAATCTAGTATCGTTGATAAAACTCACCTGTCTGCTTATCTCGAAAAGGACCTCCAATCTGTGGTTGTCTGAGGCAGGAAATGGCTCGTAAACTTTAATGCCTCCAAAACGAAACTGCTCTCCTTTACCCATCATAAAGATCTCTTCCTGCCTGCTATCAGAATGGCTGATTTGCAACTCCTTAAGAGTGCCTCATTACGCCTGCTTGGTTTCACGTTGTCCATTGACATTACGTGGAATAAATACATTGAATCAATAGCTTCATCTACTGCATGGAAAGTTGACTCTCTGTGTCGTGACAGAAAGATTTTTCACGTCTGAGTCCATCTTTCAAATCTATAAATCAACCGTCCGTACTTGCATGGATTATTACTGTAATATATGGTCTGGTGCTCCCACTGTACGTCTTGAGGTCCTCGACAAAACCCAGAGACGAATATGCAAGATGATAGGTCGTGATCTGGCATCTAGTCTATAATCGCTATCTCACAGACGTGCCGTGGCCTCCCTCTGTCTCTCCTAGGAGTATTTTCACTGCAACTGTTCCGACGAGCTACTTTCGCTGTTTCCCGGGCTATATGAATTTAAGCGAGCTACTAGGATGGCATCTCGGACCCACCCTTCCACTATCAAAACGGTTAAATGTAACCGTCTCTTCTACTCAAACAGCTTCTCCTCCCGCACTTCATCCACAGACAGACTGTTTCGCTGTATCACGGCTCATCAGTGTGGCTAGACATCCGATTGCTTGAAGCCGGGATCGAAAACACAACCGATTTGAAAATTTTCCCCCAAGCCATCGGTGCACGGTTGTAAGAAAGGCAAATTTTTGCGTACATACTCTGTGAAAATAAATCGTCAATGACTGACGGTGCTCAATTCAGGGAAGGGGAAGAGCCTTTGTAGCTGGCCAATCGTATTCGAGGATACTAATCTACTAGGCCGGCTAGTCAATTCCTATTACAGACTCTCGCCCAGGCTTATTTGTATTTATTCAACGCCCAGAGTCAACCTGTGGTTTATACTGCAACTATGCTGGGCAGACCTTAGTTACAGTTTCTGGGAGAGAATCAACAATCTGAACAACAACAGTACACTCAAACGCTCGGTCACGATGATTTGTTACTTCGTGTTAGCACAGCTATCGACGGCCCCAAGTGTTCCGTTTACCCGTGGTATGGTTTTCAGGCACTTTTCAAAGATGGCGCATGCGGGGATTGTCCTCGCTGCAGACCGATAACATCAGGAAATCTCCTTCCTGACAAATCGCCCATGAGATTCGAACCCTGATCTCATGGTCAGAAAGCGAACATTCTAATCTATATATTCCCTGACGATCCGCTTAGGTGAAACCTTGGTACGTTTGTCTGGCTCTCTAGGTTTAATTAGATCTGCTCTACTTACCGTATTGAGCACTTTATTTAGTTATTTTGTTTACTCGTATTGGTTTTTTTCCTTTGGGCTTTGGACTTGCCTGCTAGACGATTATTTCCGGCTAACGTACATGTTCTTTGTTCTTTCTTTTTTATACCTTTTTTTTCCTTTGGTATTGTCTTGTTTATTTGCAAATCAAGACACCGAAGGTTTTCGAAAGAGTGTAGTTTCTTATACCTATAGGATTACTACTAATATTATATAATATATATATATATATATATATATATATATATATATATATATAATTATTTATTTAAAAATATGATTCCATTACTACATAAGAGTTCTCATATTTCAAAACAAGAGCCGAAAACTTCAATATAATTATTTAAATTAAACTGAATTAAAGTACCAAGCTCTGTTCCATCTTCAAGCGAAATTTTTTTGGAATAATTCCTGAAATTTACGCGTTTTATAAACATATTCATTATTAAAATTAAAATTACTATGGTAACGGCTAGAGCAATTATTTTTAAAAAAAGTGGGGGCGTAAGAGTTAATAATTTGTATCAATATCTCAGTTACATTCAAAGAGATCAAGTCAGGGTAAGGTTGGGGTGTCTAAATTCAAAGCGGAAGATGACATCGTCTAGTCTGGTTAAGTGTCTATGGAGATTTTTTTTTTTTTTTTTTCCTGAAAGGGTTTTGTGTATATAAAAAAAAACTGTCATAATTCGCTAACATTTGTTTTTTCGTAAGAAATATATATATATATTTCTTACGAAAAAGCATTTTTCAATGAATAATGAATTTTACAAGAATTGTTTTCTTTTTTTAATTTTAATTAGAAAAAATTATTAAGTTTTAAATCTTTTAAAATTCTGTATTAATTTCAGCCTTTTAGATGATATTATTATTAAGTGAAATCTATATTTACTGATCATACATATCAAAGATTAATACCAGTTTTCAAGCTCCGTGACTTATCATCTTGTTATTCTCAAATTTCACATTAAACACAATCAATCATCTTGTTATCACTCGTCAAATACGTAAATATGGCTACTGTCGGTGAAAACACAGCTACTGTCAAATCAGATTAATTATACTTTAAATCAGCGAATATTTCTCAAATAAAGTTTCAGAAATGTATATTTTATTTTTTGGAATATTTTTTTTCAATAAAGAGAATAACATTGCGCTGAAAGGCGATTAAAATATGGCGCTAATCAACTATTTTAGCAAAAGAAAAATGAAAATCGATTCCAATCAATATAATTTCTGTTTGAAATACACTAGAGTATTTTGCTTATTGGAAATAGTAAATTTAATTATTTAGCTTTCAATTAAAGCTAAAATGAAAGCATCAAAAAAGGTTTTTTTTTTTTTTCATTTTTAAAATTGATATGTCCCGGAAAGGGATATATTTGTTCGAAGTAGCAAAGTGCTTGTTGACTACCGTAACCGGGTAGGACAATCTAGAAGCTAACCGTAATGGACTGGTCCTTGTCGTAGGGTAGGCAATAGGCGTGGGCAATAGGTGAAGACTATAGGCGTAGTCAATAGGCATCCTCTTGTACCTCCACATCAGTCTGTATTTATGGCTAACACCAGCCAATCATATTACTGTGAAGGGGAACCCAGTTCTACGCATATTCATTACATCAAAAACTTAATTTAAACCTTAGGTATCGGGAATTTACTATATTCTCTTGTACCCTACGAAAGACGGTAGCCTATATAATTATTATTGTTCTTGTTTGTGCTGTGGTCGTAATGATGATGAGCATCATCATTATTAGCTTTCTGTTCAGTACGGGGTCATGACCAGAGATTACGGCAAAGGAGTAAATATTTATATTTTCTTTGCACAAATTCTGTTGTGAAATTCGTGGCGTCTTTTAATTTTAATAAACGGCGTTTGAACACGTGATTTGGTTTCACATGTTTTGTTTGTTTTTGTTTTTTTTTTGTAAATTTTAGACGCCATCACACCAAGCGAGGCAGTAAAGACACTAAGATTGTTTTCTGATATTTCTACACCCAGTAACATGTGTGGACATTTCAGAAAACAAAAACATTATTAAGGGGCGAAAACAAAAGAAGAGTAATCAAGAGGAAAGAGATTGCTACTGCATTTAATTTTTTGAAGATCAAAATTAACTGGAAAGCATGGAGCTGGAAGGGAGCCCCACAAGCGAGAAGTACAAGAAAAGAAATTTCTAACATAGAACTTGCGGTTACATCTAGTCAATTCAACCGTAAATTGATGAGAACTAGTGCTGCTCTTACATTCATAAAGTCTAAGTACCATAGCGAACAGCAATATTTATTTTGTAAAATTTACAAATGTGTGGCATAAGGCCAAAAATCTTTTTCTGTCTTATCATTAAACTTAGCTAGCCACAATTACTGACCCAAACATATCACAATATTTCTTACACCAAAACAGCACATTCATATTTATCATATATATATAGTATATGTCCAATTCATCCTAACTATTAATATATAATATATATATATATATATATATATATATATATATATATATATATATATATATATATATATATATATATATATATATGCTCGTGACGAGCGGCTAAAGGACGTGGCTCTTGGCGCACTGTTCCAAGGTTATCCGTATATTTGAATGAGTATCATTCAGGAACTGAGTGAGTAACAGTGCTATATCGAGTCTAGTTTGTATCTTTTTCAGATTTATTTGTCCCCCGAGGCCCGTGGTACTGTTGGTATGACGTTTGCATTGTATCGAAATGTACCGGGTTCGATTCTCTAGTGGATGCGCACTGCTGCTTAATCCCAAATAGGACAAAGCGGCCGTCCAGTGATTTCTGCATTCTGTTGAAAATTATTCTGGCCTCGATGAATTACTATATATATATATATGAGGAAATATAGTCTTAAGATGTGCTATAATTATGGGATAAAGTGCTCAATATCTGATAGAGCGTGTGTAAATATAAAAGTGAACATAGAAGTCAACACTTAGAGGCGACAGTCTAGTTGCATCTAGCATGAAACAGACTGTCGCCTGTAAGTGTTGACTTTATGTTCACTTATATATATATATATATATATATATATATATATATATATATATATATATATAATGAAATGGGTTAAGTTCTCCAATTATTTAATACATTTTCTGTTTAAACTCTATTTTAATAGTACAATTTATTTAAGTAAATGCTCTGTTTTTTAATTAAACAGTATTAATTACATTTACCGGCCCGAATAAGGACACGGGTTCGATTCAGGACGCATATTTTCTACGAAATTTCTGGAACATTCAGGCCGGTAAATATAATACTGTTTAATTAAAAAAAAAAAAAAACAGGTTAAAGTTTATCGTCATACCCAGGACTAATCAACAACAAAAAACTCAAAGGTTTAATATTCCGAGAAACTCCTAGAATTATCGACGTATTCGCCGCTGGCCAGTTTGATACTGGTTATTTAATAAGATTACTCGGTTTGTATCCGCAGACCGATTATCCAAATTTAAATGCGGGAATTCAATGGCCTAAAAGGCTTGTGATTTTTTTCTCATTTTTTTTCTCGCGTTCAAATTTCACATTAAACACAATTTGGATTTTTTTTTCTTTTTAAGGGAACCCGCTGTGCTTCTTATCTCACTGTCCGGATTTGGCCCATCTCATTTCGCTTTGTCCCGCACGCCGGTTTTGGATAAAATACGCACCTGTGGAATCCGAAGCACTCACATGAGACCTGTCTACCCCTCCAACAAGATTCCCAGCATGTACTCCATTGTAACTGTAAGTAATTGCGTCGGTTTTGACCTGATTCAGCAGAAATAGCTTCGCAGGACGTGAGGAGGGTAGAGGAAGTACAATCAGTTACCAGATAGAGAATCTCAGCAAAGTGAAGGCGTAGAAATAAGTTTATGATACCCCACCCCCGAGACGCAGGCAAATACCTGCCTCCTCCTAGTAACTGCAGGAATTTGTCTTTTCCTAAGTGACAATTTTGAATTTAGACTTTGAATTTGTTTTGATTGCAAGTGTTCAAATTAATTTTCTATTCCCTTTTGTGTCTTTTTTACGTATTGTTAGTTGTCATCTGACGTTAATTATTTTTAAAATACGGAAGCCTAAACTTGTAAAAACAATACGCTTGAATCGCATTTTTCTCACCAAGAAGATCCAAAATTTTTCGTAAGACCCCAGAATGAAAAAAAAAAAAAAAAATCTAAAACGAGATTAGAACAGTAAACGTAACATAAGTCCAATCCATTAATCTAACGATGTCATTAACCCCCACTGGTTATGAAGATTTTTTATCTGCTTATTACCAACAACCAAGCAAGGCGATAATGCCACTAAGACGCGGAAGAGGTTACAGGGAGTGAAAGTGAAAGAGAATGAGTAAATGAGGAAAGAACAAAAAAATGGAACAGGATTTAGGAAGACAGAAGATGGCGATTGACGTTGCATTTAAATTATTGAAGATTGTAGTTGACAGGGAAGCAAGAAATCGGAAGGGAGTTCCACGAGTGGGAAGTACGAGAAAAGAAACTGTTAGAGTAGAAGTGGCGGTTGCATCTAGCTAGTTCAACAGTAAAGCAGTGAGACCTGGTTGCCTGTCTAGCAATACGCTTAGATTCCTGTAGTCGAGAAAAGAAGCCCATCAGAACAGTTGCCATGAAAATATTTATAGAAAAGACAGAGGGAAACCATGTCCCATAGGTAAGAAAACTGATGTCGAAATGTCTGGTCAGGATCGTTTTTATGGGGCCAAAGCTGAAAAATTCTGCGAGTATAATTCATCTTGAACCAAATTCAAACGATATACAAGATCTGATTAAAAAAAAATTGCAGGACAAGTACTATAAAAAATAAAACTATAACACATATCAATCCAGCATTTAATCTCCTTCGAAGCTGTACACTTTTGAAGCTACACGCTTCATCCAGCGTCGTTTCCATTAAAGGGAGCATTCTTGGAACTTCCTTTGTTGGGGGTGGGGATAGCGAGCAGCTGCCTCATCACACTCTTTTGAATTTCCTATATTTTGATATATTGTTCCTTTCAAGTGGGATTTGATTTTTGGACAGAGGAAAAAAAAAAAAAAAAAAAAAAGAGCGAAAATGCCCATAAAAATGGGATACAATTGGGTTTCATTTTTATGTAATTCATTTGTGTGTGTGTGTGTGTGTGTGTGTGTGTGTGTGTGTGTGTGTGTGTGTGTTCAATGACAAAAAGTATTTTCTTCTTCTAGGGTGTCTTCCCTGAATCACACGGACTGCTGTCTAAATATATAAACAAAGGAGAAAATCAAACTACTTGGGAACCGGTGAGTATGCATTGCACTTTTGAGGATTTCAACGTGTAAAAGACTTTAATCTACCATTCCTGAGATTTCCATTAACTGCGATAACATCACAAAAGAACGGCAGAAATTCCATTCTTAATCATTGATGCAATAATGATTTTAATACGAACTCAATATTTGAGCAAATTAATCTGCTTACAAGGTTAAAATACTTGTATTACCATCAGCTTAATGTATTAGGATGCTCGGAAAGTAATTACGTTTTACCAGAAAGATAAAAACAATTCTAAATTAAATGTATTGAAATATTTGGGTGTCCGAAAAATAAATGCATTTTAGCAGACTGGCTAGAAAAACAAATATAAATTAAGTTTATTTTAATATTAGTGTGGTTTAATAGAAAGACAATAAAAAAATGTAAGTTTATTGAAATATTAATATGTTCGGAAAGTAATTGCGTTTTAACAAAATGTCTATAAAAGCAAATGTAAGTTTATTTAAATATTAATGTGTACGGAAAGCAATTATGTTTTACTATGTAGAATCAATATAAAAACAAATTTATTTAAATATTATTATTTTAAAAAAATGAAATTTGAAATTTATGGAATATTTCTATTAAAACAATTTTTCAGGAAAATATCTTCCTCAGTACTCGTTTCCAGTATTCCTTTCTAAACTTTTGGCTGAAGTTGAGTAGAACGTTAACATCTTGATTATGTTATTATTTTCTCTTCGAGTTACGTGTGACATCCATTGTTGCTGCTGCTGATGCTGGAAGTCATTCAATGATGTGGTTTTTGTTATTTGGTCCTGTTCTTTGTTTGGGTTTCGGTAGCTCCAGTCCCTGAAGTTCGAAGAAGAATGATCCTCGCTAAGACTTAATGGCTTCATTCCCACGAAGCGATTTTTAATCATTGATTTGACAAAGCGATTGTATACAGCTGGCAGTTTAGATATCTCTGAACGGGTTTGGCGTCATACATGACATCCATAGAAAAGTCTCGATCACGGCTATAGCTAAAGATGTAATATAAAATTTTCACGGGCTCTTTTAATATTTATAGTAAAGTCCGACATTGCAAATATCTCTAAATATAAAATAATTCCTCTGATGGCGGTAGCGGAGATGGCTTTGAAGGCCCAGCCTACTCCTGAAGAGTGAGAGCAGGAGAAACAGAGGACTGTGGGTGGTGGACGCGGCTGGACAAATCGAGCCCCTCCTTACAGCACTTCGCAGACCGTCTCCATGTTGACAAATCTCGGTCTCACTTCGGATGATCCTACGACAGGAAGCCCGATTAGCAACAACGGTTTCCCACGTCTCAGTGTCGATGGTGGCCTGTGTCAACTGATTCTTGAAGCCTCGTTTTGGGCCACCGCCTTGCCTCGGACCGCTGGCGAATTCTCCAAACAGGATGATATGTGGGAGTCGAGTTTGACGCATTCTGGATACTGGATCTGCCCAGAGGAGGCGATGGTGAATTCTACAAACAGGATGATATGTGGGAGTCGAGTTTGACGCATTCTGGATACTGGATCTGCCCAGAGGAGGCGATGGTGAATTCTCCAAACAGGATGATATGTGGGAGTCGAGTTTGACGCATTCTGGATACTGGATCTGCCCAGAGGAGGCGATGGTGAATTCTCCAAACAGGATGATATGTGGGTGTCGAGTTTGACGCATTCTGGATACTGGATCTGCCCAGAGGAGGCGATGGTGAATTCTCCAAACAGGATGATATGTGGGTGTCGAGTTTGACGCATTCTGGATACTGGATCTGCCCAGAGGAGGCGATGGTGAATTCTCCAAACAGGATGATATGTGGGAGTCGAGTTTGACGCATTCTGGATACTGGATCTGCCCAGAGGAGGCGATGGTGAATTCTCCAAACAGGATGATATGTGGGAGTCGAGTTTGACGCATTCTGGATACTGGATCTGCCCAGAGGAGGCGATGGTGAATTCTCCAAACAGGATGATATGTGGGAGTCGAGTTTGACGCATTCTGGATACTGGATCTGCCCAGAGGAGGCGATGGTGAATTCTCCAAACAGGATGATATGTGGGGAGTCGAGTTTGACGCATTCTGGATATTGGATCTGCCCAGAGGAGGCGATGGTGAATTCTCCAAACAGGATGATATGTGGGGAGTCGAGTTTGACGCATTCTGGATACTGGATCTGCCCAGAGGAGGCGATGGTGAATTCTCCAAACAGGATGATATGTGGGAGTCGAGTTTGACGCATTCTGGATACTGGATCTGCCCAGAGGAGGCGATGATGAATTCTCCAAACAGGATGATATGTGGGAGTCGAGTTTGACGCATTCTGGATACTGGATCTGCCGAGAGGAGGCGATGGTGAATTCTCCAAACAGGATGATATGTGGGAGTCGAGTTTGACGCATTCTGGATACTGGATCTGCCCAGAGGGAGGCGATGGTGAATTCTCCAAACAGGATGATATGTGGGAGTCGGTTTGACGCATTCTGGATACTGGATCTGCCCAGAGGAGGCAGGATGATGGTGAATGGATCTCCAAACAGGATGATATGTGGGAGTCGAGTTTGACGCATTCTGGATACTGGATCTGCCCAGAGGAGGCGATGGTGAATTCTCCAAACAGGATGATATGTGGGAGTCGAGTTTGACGCATTCTGGATACTGGATCTGCCCAGAGGAGGCGATGGTGAATTCTCCAAACAGGATGATATGTGGGAGTCGAGTTTGACGCATTCTGGATACTGGATCTGCCCAGAGGAGGCGATGGTGAATTCTCCAAACAGGATGATATGTGGGTGTCGAGTTTGACGCATTCTGGATACTGGATCTGCCCAGAGGGAGGCGATGGTGAATTCTCCAAACAGGATGATATGTGGGAGTCGAGTTTGACGCATTCTGGATACTGGATCTGCCCAGAGGAGGCGATGGTGAATTCTCCAAACAGGATGATATGTGGGTGTCGAGTTTGACGCATTCTGGATACTGGATCTGCCCAGAGGAGGCGATGGTGAATTCTCAAACAAACAGCATTCTGGATGGATATGGTGAATTCTCAAACAGGGAGTCGAGTTTGACGCATTCTGGATACTGGATCTGCCCAGAGGAGGCGATGGTGAATTCTCCAAACAGGATGATATGTGGGAGTCGAGTTTGACGCATTCTGGATACTGGATCTGCCCAGAGGAGGCGATGGTGAATTCTCCAAACAGGATGATATGTGGGTGTCGAGTTTGACGCATTCTGGATACTGGATCTGCCCAGAGGAGGCGATGGTGAATTCTCCAAACAGGATGATATGTGGGTGCCCAGAGGAGGCGAGTTTGACGCATTCTGGATACTGGATCTGCCCAGAGGAGGCGATGGTGAATTCTCCAAACAGGATGATATGTGGGAGTCGAGTTTGACGCATTCTGGATACTGGATCTGGATGCCCAGAGGAGGCGATGGTGAATTCTCCAAACAGGATGATATGTGGGAGTCGAGTTTGACGCATTCTGGATACTGGATCTGCCCAGAGGAGGCGATGGTGAATTCTCCAAACAGGATGATATGTGGGAGTCGAGTTTGACGCATTCTGGATACTGGATCTGCCCAGAGGAGGCGATGGTGAATTCTCCAAACAGGATGATATGTGGGAGTCGATTCTGGATTTGACGCATTCTCCAAACAGGATGGATACTGGATCTGCCCAGAGGAGGCGATGGTGAATTCTCCAAACAGGGATGATATGTGGGTGTCGAGTTTGACGCATTCTGGATACTGGATCTGCCCAGAGGAGGCGATGGTGAATTCTCCAAACAGGATGATATGTGGGAGTCGAGTTTGACGCATTCTGGATACTGGATCTGCCCAGAGGAGGCGATGGTGAATTCTCCAAACAGGATGATATGTGGGAGTCGAGTTTGACGCATTCTGGATGCCCAGAGGAGGCGATGGTGAATTCTCCAAACAGGATGATAGGAGGCGAGTTTGACGCATTCTGGATACTGGATCTCCAAAGGCGATGGGATTCTCCAAACAGGATGATATGTGGGTGTCGAGTTTGACGCATTCTGGATACTGGATCTGCCCAGAGGAGGCGATGGTGAATTCTCCAAACAGGATGATATGGGGAGTCGAGTTTGACGCATTCTGGATACTGGATCTGCCCAGAGGAGGCGATGGTGAATTCTCCAAACAGGATGATATGTGGAGTCTGAGTCGAGTTTGACGCATTCTGGATACTGGATCTGCCCAGAGGAGGCGATGGTGAATTCTCCAAACAGGATGATATGTGGGTGTCGAGTTTGACGCATTCTGGATACTGGATCTGCCCAGAGGAGGCGATGGTGAATTCTCCAAACAGGATGATATGTGGGAGTCGAGTTTGACGCATTCTGGATACTGGATCTGCCCAGAGGAGGCGATGGTGAATTCTCCAAACAGGATGATATCCAAACAGGATGATTTGACGCATTCTGGATACTGGATCTGCCCAGAGGAGGCGATGGTGAATTCTCCAAACAGGATGATATGTGGGAGTCGAGTTTGACGCATTCTGGATACTGGATCTGCCCAGAGGAGGCGATGGTGAATTCTCCAAACAGGATGATATGTGGGAGTCGAGTTTGACGCATTCTGGATACTGGATCTGCCCAGAGGAGGCGATGGTGAATTCTCCAAACAGGATGATATGTGGGAGTCGAGTTTGACGCATTCTGGATACTGGATCTGCCCAGAGGAGGCGATGGTGAATTCTCCAAACAGGATGATATGTGGGAGTCGAGTTTGACGCATTCTGGATACTGGATCTGCCCAGAGGAGGCGATGGTGAATTCTCCAAACAGGATGATATGTGGGAGTCGAGTTTGACGCATTCTGGATACTGGATCTGCCCAGAGGAGGCGATGGTGAATTCTCCAAACAGGATGATATGTGGGAGTCGAGTTTGACGCATTCTGGATACTGGATCTGCCCAGAGGAGGCGATGGTGAATTCTCCAAACAGGATGATATGTGGGAGTCGAGTTTGACGCATT